GCAGCCGGGCGGGAGGGGCGCGCGGCCGCAGGTGACAGCGGGCGCCAACGCCGGGACGGGGCGGGCGCGACGGGCGGGTGCCGCGGGCCGGCCCTACCTGGAGAGGACGGGCGGCTTCCCCCTCCCCGAATTAAACTTTATTCGCCCCTGTCCCGCCAGAGCGGCGGCCGCTGACCCCGGAGCCGGATGGGCACGGGGGCAGGAAGTGACTGCGGTCCTGGCGGCGAGAGCCCGCCCAGTGCGCAGGCGCCGCTCCCCGGCCTGGCCGCACAGGTGCCTGGCGGCCGCTGCGGACGGGACAGGGGCGGCCGGGCCCGGCCCGCGGGGCTGTGGCGGGACGCGGCTGGAGCCCCGGGCGGGCTGAGGCGCAGCGCCTGCCACGGGACCGACCCGCCGGGCGGAGAGCGTGGGAACCCGCGCCGTCTTTGTCCCGGTGGGGAGAAAGACCCGCGCTGACCGCCGCGCGCGCCGGTGGAGCGCAGCGCTGCCCTGGGGCACCGGTTCCCGGACGCGCGTGGGAGCAGCCAGCATCTCTGGAGCTGCCATTTCTGCCCCCTTTCAGCCTGGTCTGCGCTATTACAGTGTAAAAAAATATGAACCAAACCACTGGTTGTTCTAATAGACCTGACAAGGAATAGCGTAGATGAGTGTCTTGAACACTTGTGTGATGTCCGTGCCAAATACGGGCTACAGGACGTCGGTGCAGTGCAGTGAGTGGCAGGGCAGCCGGTGTCTCCAGACACGTTTCCACAGGATCCTGTTTAGTCCTGTGCTGTCTTAGTGCGCTTCTGTAGGCACCTCGGGTTGTTGAATAGGTGATACTTGGATTTTGCCAAAGGAAAGGGTGAGATTAAGTCTTCATAGGCTTAAGGAACTTCTGCCATTGAAGAAAAATCTGTCAAATAATGTCAGGAGTAAGCACATCATCACAGGAAAAAATGTGTAGTGATGGTACGAACACAAAAACAATCTGTGAAGCTTTAATAGCATCGCTTAATGGAGGTAGGACTGATGGTTTGAGATGAAGTTCCAAGTCACATTACAGTCTGTGCAACAGTAAGATGTCTCACACTTTCTCAAATCAGACATGGAGAGACCTTACCATCTGTGGCCATCAACTTGTACACAACAATGTCTTCTTTAAAAATACATTGATTTAATCAATAAGTCTTCTTTTTTCAAAGCAACATGAGACCAAATTCAACCTCCATCAGTTGCATTTGGATTTTGGTTAACAAACTGGAAACCCCTCAAGTGTCAGAGAACAGTTCAAACAGCTGAGTGCCAAATAGCATCTTAACTCTGAGGTACAGCAGAACTCAATTGAAACCTTTGTGTCAGACAACCAAACACAAGTCATTGTGTATGTCCAGAAGTGCTCTCACCTTGAGATTAGCTACATCCTGAGCTCTGCTGTGTTTTAGACACACAGTGGAAGAGCCATAATCTCTGCCAGCCCTGCAGCTGTGTTCAGCCTGTGTAGAGAGCACTTGTATAAAACTGTAAAGCTCATGGGTAACAAAGTGCAATGAACAGAGCTGTCAGCTCTAGTTCTGCACAACAGCCTACTGACTGTTATGCTTGCCTGAGAAGTATTGAACTTAGAGAATTAACATTCCCCACCTCCCAGGAGATGTGGGAATCAGGCTCAAAGATGATCTTACATTCTCACTGATGACACTGCGCTATGAATATTGAAACAATAGGGTTATAGCACTTTAAATTTGCATCTTGGACATTTACTATGAACATGGGGAGCCGTGTCACCAATATGATTTTACTCAGTGATCAAAAAGTAAGAAAGGAAAAATCCACCAGCAAATCATAAACCAGCAATGGAAATTTAGAGTCTTTTGGCTGTATTTGTGTTTCTGTCTTTAGCCACTCTCCACAGGATTTTTTTCCTTCTTCTAATCGAATGAAAGTTTCTCTTTTTGCAGCCTATGGCTTATATTATGCTTGCATGGCAAGATTTTGCTAGTGACTGGCCTATAAGAGTGGCTTGTTTGAGAAGCTTCTGGAAGCTTCCCTCATGTTGCAGAGCTAATGCCACCCAGCTCCAAGATGGACTCACACTGGTTAAGGCTGAGATAGTCATTGAAGGTAGTAAAGCCTCTGTGATAACATGTTTAAGAAAAAAAGTTATTGCACGGAAGTAAGTGTGGCCAGAGAAGAGGGGAGTGAGAATATGTCAGAGAAACAGCCCTGCAGACACCAAATCCAGTGAAGGAAGACGGGGCAAGAGGGAGTGCTCCAGACCCCAGAGCTGGGATTCCCCTGCAGCCCGTGGTGCAGGCCATGGGAGGCAGCTGTGCCCCTGTCGCCCCTGGGGATCCATGGGGGAGCAGAGATCCCCCTGCAGCCCCTGGGGATCCCTGGGGGAGCAGAGATCCACCTGCAGGCCCTACGGCTCCATGGGGGAGCAGAGATCCCCCTGCAGCCCCTGGGGATCCCTGGGGGAGCAGAGATCCACCTGCAGGCCCTACGGCTCCATGGGGGAGCAGAGATCCCCCTGCAGCCCCTGGGGATCCCTGGGGGAGCAGAGATCCACCTGCAGGCCCTACGGCTCCATGGGGGAGCAGAGATCCCCCTGCAGGCCCTACCACCTGCAGCCCCTGGAGGACCCCACACCAGAGCAGATGGATGTCCAAAGGAGGCTGTGACCCTATGGGAAGGTCACCCTGGCAGGTTCCTGGAAGGACCTGTGGCCTGTGGAGAAAGGAGCCCACAATGGAGCAGGTTTGCTGTCAGGACTTGTGATCCCATGGGGGATCCATGCTGGAACAGTTTGTTCCTGAAGGATTTCCCCTCTGTTGAAAGAAAGGACCCACGCTGAAGCAGTTAATGAAGAACTGCAGCCTATGGGAAGGATTCCTCTCCCCGAGAAGTAAGCAGCAGCAGAAAGAATGTGATGAACTGACCATAACAATAAAAACCACCTGTCCCTGTGCACCACTGCTGGGGAGGAGGTAAAGATTTAGGAATAAAGTTAATCCCTGGAAGGAGGGAGAAGTGGAGAAAATGTGTTTTTAAAATTTGTTTTACTTCTCATTGTCCTACTCTAATTTTGAATGTGTTCAATTGATTTCTCCAAGCTGGGTCTGTTTTGTCCATGACGCTGACAGATCTCTCCCCATCCTTAGCTCAACTGATGAGATTTCATTATTTTTTCCCTCCCTTGTGCAGTTGAGGAGGGAAAAGATACAGCAGCTTTGGAGGGCAACTGGCATCCAGACAATGCCAATGGCCATTCTTTCTTGTCCTTCTCCTGTTCACCTCCAAAAAAGTAAGAAGTTCCTCCTTCTTAATAACCCCCCATTCAGTGAAGCATTGGGATTGTGTCCTCTCAAATGTTCTCTTCAAGATGAAGTTCCCTTAGCCTCTCCCTCTGTCCCAGGCTCCAACCCCTGGAATCACCTTGTTCTGGATACTTTTGATCTTTTTGATCTTCTAAGTATTCCTTGCATGCTTAGGAGCCCAAACTGGACACAGTGTTGCAGATGTGGCTTCACAGATGGCAAGTAGAGAATAATCGTCTCCCTTCACCCACTGTGATGTTGTCGTGGCACAGTATAGTGGCAAGTTTTAATTACTGCAAAGTTGCAGTGTTGATCCTCATTTCACTTTTTAACCAGGACCCACAGGTTCTTTTTGCAGAGATGCTGTCTCATTAGTCAGTCCTCAGCCTATACCAGTGCCAGGGGGTTTTTGCCCTAGGTGCAAGGCTTTGTCCTGCCAGGACATTCTCCAGCTTGTTGAAGGTGTCCTCACAGGGCAGCCCTGTCCTCCAGTGTGTCAGACATTCCCTGGTTTTAGCCGCTCATTTCATCATAAAAGATCATGACATGGGTTATACAAAATGTGCCCTCTCCAATGTTAGAAATTACAGCTAAGGTCAAGTTCTCTATTGCTGTATTTTTTGGGAGGTGGAATTTTTTGGGAGGTTGCATATTTTTGGAAGATGGCCAAACAGCAACTGAAATCTTATCTATCTTAAACACATTTTCATAACTTTTGTGTTCCATAAGTTTGTGTGAACTTTGTGTTCATAACTTAAGGAAGACCTTAAATGGGCACTGCTGCATGAACGTGTAAATCAGTAATTTAGCTGACCTTGTGACCTCGTTGTGGGTGGGAGACCTTAATCTGTATATCGCTGTTTAACTTCTCAGGTAGTTTACAATGTAACTAATTAGTAACATTGGCAAACAACCACACCCAAATTTTGACCAGTCAGCCAGTTATGCGCAAGGCGTCTCTGGGACTGATAAAAGCTGCCAGCACGGATCAGGTAGTTCCACCTGACCTAGCAGATAGCAGGGTGGAGTCCTTTCAGCCAGTAGCCAGCCATTGAATAAGAGAAATTTGGATCAGGGCAGGAAAGATGCCAGTGCAGCTCACTTCACAATACAGTGCTGCAGTTGTTCATCCAAGAGTTTAAACTGGAACTTGGATCCAATTTGAGTTTCATGTGTGTAAAAAGAACAAGCATATGATCTTGCCTGACTTTGAAAAATAGACTATTCCTCTGTAAAATATGAACAGTAATTCAAATTTATAATAACTTTCTTTTTGTCTTATATAGATAAGATTCAATGAAAAGGAAAAATATTTTTAGAACAATACATAATTCTTCATACAATCCATAATTAGCTTGTATCCAGGGAACATGGAAATTCATAATGAAACCAGATACAGGGTAAAATGTACAGGATGCATTTGCATACGACAAAGGTAAGGATGAAAATATTTTTATGCATTTCAGGTAAATTCTAGACATAAAATATATTATTAGGGGAGGGGGTTTGAGTTTAGCTTTCATTCTCTGGCTAATGTTCTCAACATAACCAGCAGATTTTGAAGAAGAATTTTTATTTATTCATTGTCTCTTAGATGATGTGGAGCTGGTGAGAAGTTTTGAACTCAGTCTTCTGTTACAACTTGATCAAATTATTTTTAAATTGTTTCTGTATTGTGAATATGGCTTTGAAAATGCAAAATTCAGAACAATTTTTCTTAGTTACTGGATTGTGCTTTCAAAATATTTGAAGTATTCTAGCAAGGGAGGTATATTTTTGGTAGAGGATATTGAAGTTTTATCTCAAACAGTTGTGATAGTAGGTTTAGTATCCACTGAGAGGTTTTGTCTTGCCAAAGGGCTGGCAG